TTCCTCATCGGAGAAAACCAAATTCGGTAGTTCACCATCTTCGCCCAAGCGAAGCAACTCTTTAGCTCTTTTGAGTCTATTTTCATTCTGTTGCGGTGTATGTTCTTGCATTTTTTTGAATTTCAATGCCTTTACCTCGAGCTCATTTTTTATTCAATATTTGCCGAATAGAATATTGCGATATGTTCTGTTCAGCTCACGAGCCATTTTTCGGCCACATCAACGCGGGTTTCGATCAAGTAGTTTCTTTACTTTTCGAATTCGAATTTCTGCAGATGTTGCCGTTTTCTTCCGTTCACTTCCTCGACGTCGGGCTACTCTACCAGTATCACGGTAACGAGCGATGGTACGAGACACAAGAGATTTATTCACATTTAAATGCTGGAGTGCTCTAACGATAGCCACTTATGGCTTTCCAGCCAAATATAAAGAGACACTATCACGCTTGAATTCCATCACGAAAAACTTTTTTCTGGAAAATTCTTACCAAAATGCTTTTGTACGCATGTAACCAAAATAATGAGCTGTCACTGGAATAATTTTAAAAGCTGTCGGATGAGTGGCTTAGAAATGACAGCAGTCAGAAGTTGGTTGCAGTTTTTTCATCTCACCTGTATACTGGGAAATATTTTCCCAAAATTCTTTTTTATTTGAAAGCCCAATCTTCCCGATTAATAATCGAAAATAATTTCATTCAAAATTCAAAAGCTGGCCAGGCAGAAGCCTGCACGATTAGTCCAATTTTTAAGCACACTATGGATTGTGTGCAGCTGTATTTTAGCAATGGCTTCACGAATATTGTTCTTTAAAGCGTCGATTTTATCTGGCTGGATAGCGCAACACTTATCTTTGATAGTACCCCATAAATAATAGTCCAACGCTGTCCGACATCAACACTACGGGTGATAATGCGATCTTCAAAAACAGGGCGCAAACCATCGAGTATAGCTTCGGCTGTGTGGCACGTAGCGCCATTCTGTAGAAACCAAACGTTGCCTCCTCAATTTTTATGAACAAAAATTCGTTCATAATGGACCGATAACATAAGAGCTACTCCCTGCCCATTTCGAAGAAAAATGTCCATACGGAGCTGACGGTATTTTCCTTCTTCCAAAATACGTACGTAATTTTCGCACACCTTCTGCACCATTGCCAATATTTTCAAAATAATGTCGCAATATTTCTCAGCGTTGTTCAAGCGCATACCCGACCATATTCGCTCAGTGGAAGCATAAGCTATTTATCTCTCAAATCAGACATTAGCTAAATATTATCATTCTCAAAATAAGCACTAGTTTAAAAAGAAAAAGGTGTATGGCGGACCCTTTATTTCTCCTGAAGGACATCGACTCACAGTCGATGAATTTTAAATACACATTACAAGTTTGACTTAAATATACTTGACACAAATTACTATAATTCTAAGCTTTCCTATTTAATACTCCAAGGGATGTTACAGTATCGCTACATCTGTTCATTCTGATGACAGTGCGGTTTGTATGTTAAGGTCGTCGTAAGTATTCTTTGCTGATAAGCCTTCTGCTACGATACACAAGCCGTGATAAGGACCCAATTGAGGGTGATGTCCAGTAGCAACAGCAATTTTTGGAAAGCCTCAGAGTACAAACGTTGCATCTCCTTAAACCAGGGGTTGAACAACGAGTGGTAGATCGAGTTCGTCTTCAATTCAAAATTGACATCATTTTTCAACTGGACCTTTAAGAAAATTTGCCACCCAGAGTTTCCAAAAATAAGAAAAATATAAGTCTTTCTATGAGTCAATATCTAAATACCCACTTTATCCACCAAAAAGCCAACTAATTATATATTTATCCCATTTGCTCCATCGTTTCCTCCAAATCATCATTCATTCCCTTTGCCCTTAATGTCACTTGGGTCATTTACCTGTTTATTGTGAAAATTAGCATTTTCTTCACACCAAGGTGGTTTCGATTTAATTTTTTTTTTGTCTATTTATTTTCAAATAAATTTTGAAAATATTTGCAATTTATTAATTTCACACCCACTCTAAACAACCCAACTCAGCCCCGCCATAAATCCCAATCCAATGAATGGATGGCCTATTACAAATGAAAACATTCAATTTTTCACAATTTTCAAAACTATTTCCCAATAAGGCCAGACGATTTAGACATTGTAGAAATACATGAGGATTCGTGTGTGTGTGTGTGTGTGTGCGTGTGTGTATTTCAGAATGGCATGTATTGGTGGGCGAGTTCTTAAAATAGCCTTTCGTCTTGAAAAGTGACGTCGTCGACATTCTCTGTGTAAAATAATAATAGTGGTTGTTGGGGAGAATAGGAAATGTTCAAATCATGCCAAATTTTTGAAAATTTTCAACTATCATTAGAAAAAAACCAAAACATTTTCACTCGACAATCGATCAAGAGACGACGACTACGACGACGGATGGCTGGCTGGCTGGCTGGCTGGTTGGCTGAGTGGCTGGCTTGCTTATTGACCACATAGCGTTTACAAATTGTGGCATGTTGTGTCGTTGGCGGTCTAGTGCCACCGTTGATGATCGTGGCCAACCAAGAGGTGTAAATTTAAAATTAAACGGATTTCAATGCGTCAAATTAGTTTTGTTTTCGTTTCATTTTTTGTTTTTCTGGTTTACCGTCATTGCATTTTCTTTTTCATTTTTTGTTTTTATTCTCAACAACAGCATGGGACGGTGGATGAGTGATTAATTGTTGGCCGATAGGCTAATGTGTTTTCTTTTTCTTCGTTTCGTTTGATTTCTTTCCGGTTCCTTAATTTTTGGTGATGGGGTATTTTAATTGTTTTGTGTTTTTGTTTTTATTGTTGTCTTTGTTTTCTTTCTTTCTTCTCAATGGACAATTAATTTCCATTAAATATTGGTCGTAGAATGCAGTTGCCATTACCTTTTTTGTGCCAGTCATGTTTTTTAACACCACCAACGTGGGCTGCCATATCCATGGCGTGGTATAACAACATCTGTACGTACATAGCTACACACAAACGTCGCAATTTCCCTTTTTTCGTTTTTTTTTTTTCTGTTTTTGCACTTGTGCAAATATTTTCAATCCATAAATACGTCGCAAATTGGACGAGGAACAAAAACAAATGCGATTTTAATGAAAATCTCGTTCGGCTATTCATCATTATTAATCCTCACAATGTTGAGATGTTCGGCAATGGAAAATGTTAAGAAATTTTAAGAATTTCATATATACTGTAGGCAAATGGGTAAATGTATTGAATATGGCCTTTTATGGTCATCAAAGATTTCGAACTAATAACTCGAAGCCAAAGGTGTTTGTTAATGTTCTACTCTTGAGAAAATCTTATCCTCTTCTGCTCGTTAGTTTTTTTGGTTGGTTTTTCATGGGGAACTAAAAAAATATAACGACTTTTATATAACCTGCAAAGCTTCGAAATAAGTTTGATGTTATTTGATTGACTTTAATTTAAAATAAAGTATACTGCAGTGGCGCCCAACAGTAATCACCACTCACAAAAAAAATTGTTTCTAAGGAAAAATAAACCAATTGTATAACATATGAGGATCGTTAGTGGAGCATGAAGCATCTTTTGCAGATTTCATGACAAATTTTCCTGTATTTTTCTTGAAACGAACCAGTAAAGAAAGGTCGAAAGTTGGCCGGCCGAATTTATGATACAAATAAAAGTTTATATATCGAATTTATGTAAAGTCAATCATACCAGCTGTGATCCTTTTTGAATGCGTATTATGGCTTTATAGCAGTTATCATTATAAACCGAGAAGAACTAATCAATTACACTTAATTTGACGGAGGCATTTGTATCTCTCGACTTTAAGATCAAAAGTATATCGAAGCTATAGCTATACCTGAACCGATTTTCACCAAAATGCAATCGAAACCCGCGTCTTAGTGGTCGAAAAATGGCTCGTGAGTTGAACATATCGCAATATTCCATTCGGCAAATATTGAAAAATGAGCTCGGGATAAAGCCATTGAAATTCCAAAAAGTGCAAGAATTTACACCGCAACAGAAAGTAAATAGAATCAAAAGAGCTAAAGGGTTGCTTTGCTTGGCCGAAGAAAGTGGTGAACTGCCGAATTTGGTTTTCTCCGATGAGACAACATTCGTTGTCCAGCAGTTTGTGAACAAACAAATTTATCGTGTTTACTTGCCAAAGAGGTCAGCTGAAAATTTGCACCTTCGGTTGGCCACCAGAACTCAAGCACCGATGGTCGATGGTCGCTCTCCGCTCGTATTAATCGAGCGTGGCATCAGAATAAATGCCAAATGTTATCGCGAAAATATCCTGGAAGCTGTATTAAACCCTTGGACACGCAAACATTTTGGTCACAGACCTTGGACATTCCAACAGGACTTGGCACCATCGCACTTAGCACGCGTTACTACATGAGGTTCCTCGCTTCATTTCCAGCGCACAATGGCCACCAAAATCTCTGGATACCAATCCGTTGGACTTTTGTGTCTGGAGTATTTTGGAAAGCAAGGTTGGCACTAAAAATTATCAAAGTGTCGGTCACCTCAAGCAAGCGCTTCACCGGAAATTGGCCAAAATACCGCAGAGCAACATTCGAGCAGCATGTGACGGTTTCATTGGCCGTTTGAAAGCCATTATTCGTGCTAAAGGTGACCAATTCGAACAAATCCAAACTTATTCTAATTCGTGATGCTGTTTCCGATATTTGTTGCTTTTATTCAATAACATTTAAAAAACAAAAATAAAAATTATGGCGTTTTCATTTGTTGCAGTTTTTTTTTTATCTCACCCTGTACTTCCTTTCAAAAAGAGCAAATTTCCCAATAAAAATGTTTAAACTCAGTCAAAATTTGCTATCGTTTACTGGATTTTTTTGTACAAATTGTGAAAACTTATTGAGTTATAAAAAACAATTATTACCAAATCCGATTATTGCTATTTATACACACAGCTTTTAAGTAATTTATAAAATGTTTCTTACCACTTTCTTTTTTTCTCTTCCAATTTTCAGGTAAAAACTACACGTGTAACGAAATCCATTAAGTCGGGAAGCTCTTCTTCACCAGTTATAGAGACAACTTGTGATATCGAGGAGATCTGGGACGAGGAAATCCTAAAACAATTGGTAAGTTGTGAAAGAAAAATATTCACACATTTCAAATCATGACTCATCAAGTATGTAATTATCTCTGAAGACTCTTAACTTCAATAACGAATGATTTACAGTTTTCCATTGTTTTTTTCTCTTTGATTAATTATTGTTCATTCTGTATTTCTTTTTTCTTTAACCCTTGACATTTTCCAGTTGGAACAAGCTAAAACATACGAAGAACGCCGTAAAATACGATCACGTTTGAGGGAACTTATGGCTGACCGTGCAGGTATTTTATTAATTTCCTTATATTTATACTCTATAATTAACAAATTAAGCAGGTGATGTTGCTCAAATGAAAAAAATATTCTTCTTTGGAATTCACGACCGGAAAGTGATATAAAAGAAAAAACTAAATTTTTGGAAAATAGGGGATATTTGAATTATTTCATTTCCTTTTTTGTCAAAATTTTCAATTTTTCTTTTATGCAAGTTTCTGGACCTGAGTCTCGGTTTGAATGTGGTAATCGAAATTTAGTTTAGATTTTGCAAAGTTTCTCTTTGACAAACTATATATGATTACCGGTGAAATATCGTCATATGAAATGAAAAACAATTTCCAACACTTGTTCCCGAACTCAATCAAATCTCTTGAGGTAATCCTCAATTTCAATTTCTCTATATTTATTACTTTTGTTTTGCTATTTTTCATTTCACACGACGACATTCCACTTCAAGTTTCAAAATCCTGCAACAACAAAATGTGCCTTTTATTTCAAGCAAAATTTTAGGTTGATATTGACAACAAAATGGTGATGGTATTAGAAATTGGTTGTTCCTTTTTCAGGCGAAATATTCTAATTTTTGATTATTTGGTATCCATTAAAAATTTGCTACCAAATCCCCTTTCTTAAAATGTGCGGTGTTGTATTTTTTACGATTCTTAAAGAAATGAAGGGCACATCTTCCTCGTCGATTCAAAAAATTAAAATTCTCGTTAAAACACCTGGAAAAAGTCGAATGATGTTTATCGATTATGTGTCCCACTTAACGCTACCCCGCATCCGTTCATCCGACGACAAAGTGAAATCAATTCTTTAACATGTGGATTTCTCTGTATATTTGCTCTATTCTAGATATTAATTGATTTTCGAAATCCAATTGATTTGGCATCGGCGAAATCAGTGAGAGAAAGAGAAGAGAGAGAGACAGAGAGAGAGAGAGAGCAGTACAGAGAAACCAGCATTGAGATAAACAAACAAAGAAAAAAAAAACAATTGTTAAATTTGGCCATAGGTTGTACCCCCCCAACACTCACTCACCCACAAAATATTTCCATTGTTCTGCACACAGGCATATTTCCCCACGACTATGCGTGTGTGTGTGCGAGGACACGCGTGAGCAAAGGTGTGCGTGCGTGTGTCGAAAAACAATAGCCAGAATAGCGAAAAGATGTAAGCATCATCATTCAAAATAATTTTTATTTTCCTGTTTCGTTGTCACTTTTTGGATATGTTTCGATCACTGTCCTCCTCTCTATTCCAGAGAAACTAGAAAACCAAAAACAAAAATCAATTCCAAAATCAATCAATCAAACAACCATGTGTGTGTGTGCCGTTTCTATCTATCATTCTATCGTTCGTTCGTAATAATTCGTTAGTCCATTGTTTCGATCACCAAACCACCCACCACAAGTGCCACCCACCACCACTACCAACAACAACAACACCACCACCGCCACAACTACTACCGACCAACACCATCATCGCCATCGTCGTCACCGACCAAAATGTGAATTTCACATTGAATTGAATTTTTGAAAATCATTTCAAAAACATTCATCGTTGCGTCCATCGTCCCCAGACGAAGAGAATGAGAGCAAGGAAGTGATCGAGAGCAAGAGTGAGAGAGCGAGAATCGAGACCAAGAACATCGCAGACAGGCCTCGCTGATGGCCTTTACAGTTCTCAAAGCAAATCAGATATCCCACCATTCGCTCACAATACCACCACCACCTCCAAAGCGATCTCCCCAAGATCTTTCTCATCATGCTCCTTCCTCTCTATTATTTTTTCTTTGTTGTTGTTGTTGTGTTATTGTTTTCGTTTGTTATTTTCGCCTTAACAAAATTTTATTTTAATCGTTGGCTCATAAATTTCCTATATTTAGAAAAGAACAGTTGCCAGCAGACAGGCAAAGAAGAAGGAGAATCTGCTGCTGTTGCTGTTGTAGCCGCTGGAAAACGCGTCGAAGAACTAAAATCGCCTGTTCAGAGGAGTGAAAGCAGTGCCAGCAGTGAATACGAAATAATTGAAGAGGAAGTCACCTGCACGGAATCCGAATCGGAAGAGGTTAAGGAAACCGCAGAGACTACTGCACCCCAAAAGGAGGAAGAATTGAAGCAATCCTCGCAAGAAGAGGAAAAAGAAGATACAACTTCTGCACCACCAGACGTGGTGCCCACCGAACCCCCAAGTACTGAAGAACAGTCCCAAAAACAAGAAGAACAACAAGAAAAAGAGGAGGAGAAAACAGTAGAAGAAACAAAGGAATCTGACACTACAGACTCCGCCAAAGAAACCACCGACAGCTGCGCTGAAAAGGGTGAGTCGCCTGCCATGCCCACGCAGCAAGGCTCCATGCATCAGCAACAAAACAAAATGATGCAAGTCCACCAGGCAAATAATCACAAGCTGGCCAGCCAACATAGCAGCAGTCCAGCAGCATCCTCTAAACTAAGTAGTGATCGTAGTCAAATGCACGCGCCCTCGAATAACAAACAAAGCTCCTCTGCGTATCTGGCCAACGGCCAATACGCCAAGAATCCAACAGTGACTGTGACAGCAGGCAACACAACAGTTAGGGATCTAGGCAGTAGTAGCTCGCTAGGAGCATTAGGTAGTAGTAACAACAACAATAGTGGCAGTAGTAGTAGTATTAGTAGCTCCCAAAGACAAGTAGATCGACTAGGTGTGCCTCAAAAGGAGGACTCGGGCACAGAGAGTGGTGAAGATTTGCGTTTCATTGCGGCCGGTCTGCGTGATCAGCTGCAGATGAAAAGTGATTCGAATATCATTGATGACGTCACCTGCGCCCTAAGCCGTTTGGAGGCGTCGCTCAAGGAAGGCAAAGACATCTCGGTGGATACGGAAAAACGTAAAGCCCTTTTGGCCTTGGTTGGGCGGTTGCAAGCGGGTCTTACATCGCCGGAAAAATTGGCTGAAATCGCTGCAGCCATGTCAGAACTGGATGGCAATGATCCTATCTACGGCGAAACATCGTCTCCGGAAGCAGATGCTCACCGTTCCAACAGACAAAGATTTGCCAAACGTCGCAATCGCATTGATCGCCACACTGTGGGCGTTAGCCGTGAGGAACTGGCCGATGCCAGACGCTATATGGAGGACATGTTGATAATGGAGAATATATGTCAAGCCACAACGCCCGAGGCAGCAAATAGTAATTCCCCTCCGCAGTGGTTCCCGCTGGAGAAGAATGCTTCTACCGGCTCTATACTAATGCACAACAACAGCGGCTCGTCGTTGGCCATGAGGCAAAATAATTTCCTCAATGAGAATTACGTGCAGAGTGCGGCGACGAATAACTCGCTGCTTCCCAACCCTCAATCGGCGGGAAAACGTAGACCAGTATCTGGCGATTTTTCCGTCAGTTTTGGTTTACCTTCCACCACATACCAGGACAACTCGAACACAGCTCAGATGCAGACGTCCTATGTGGAGGAACGCAATGCCGAAAATGCTTCGTCCGATTCAAACTCAAAATTTGCCCGGTTTACGAATAAAAAGCAGCTAATGAAGCGGGCCAACACCATAGACATTGCCAAAACGAAGCGTTTTAATTCCGACTTGGATACAGATTCGGATGCTGAAGATCGGTCACAAACAATTGGACTCAAGCGCACGGTACACCCCACCGTCAAGAAAAGAGTTTCGAATGTGGTGCCTCCGTTTGAGCCGAAGACCGAAAATGATCGCAAATTCCTTGCGTTCATCAACAAACAAAGTGATAAGCCGGGACTGGGTTGGACCAACTCACGTTCCGTTTCAAATTGGACAACCAAATTCGGGTCGTTGAAACATACCTTTGAGGCTGGAGGTAGTGGCACAGTTACAGCGGCCAAACCTCCACAAATTCCCTCACACATCCACCCCAGACCAGCAGTACAGCAGCAGCAGCACCACGTGCCAAAGCAGCCTCAAGCACCGGTGCAAAATTATATGAGCACAAATCAACAAATTGCTCAACGTTTGCAGCAGGAAGCGCAGCGTCAGGCCGAGGAACGGCGCATAAAATTGGAATACGAACGCATGGAGGCTGAGCGGCGAGAACGTGAGAAATTAGAGTTGCTTCGTCAACAACAGCAAAGGGAACGAATGGAAAGAGAACGCCTGGAGAGAGAATACTATGAACGAGAAATTAGGGAGCGCAACCAAAGAGCCGCTCAACAGAGTGCCAGTGTGAATGTTCCCAAGCCCATACCCATCAATGAGTTCAAACATGCACCTCAGTCTGTGTTCAGACCCATCGATAATGGCGATAGCCAGCAGAGGGGTATTTACAAACCAATACCACAGCTACCCGCCGGTCCACACAGTTGGCAAGCCCCCCTCTCTGCGGCGCCCAACAGCCGATCACACGAACCTTTGTCGCCCAGCAGTTATGCTCCACACACGAGACCCGACAATTCGTTCATAACCACCCCGCCACCATCCTCCAAGTCACCCATAGGCTTACCTTGGGCATCAAAGCCCACTGTGGATTCTAGTAGCTTTAAGAGTAAAGCCAATAAATTTGAAGAGCGTTCCAAATACGACAACTACAACAATGGGGCCATGCTCCAGCGGCATCACTCCCTGCGATCATCTAACATGAATGTGATGCCAAATGATGACTTTAAGAAACGACCATCGTTGCCAAACACCAGTGATCCCTTCGGTGTACAGCGCAACTTCCACAGTGATTATCCAGCCAATCCTCCCCTGTCGTATGCCACGACAAATCCTCCACTCTCATATGGAGGATCGGCTGTACCTGAACCCCCACCACCAACAAACATCTCCTTCGTTTATAATAATCACACTTCGAAGCCAACTTATTTGAGTTATCCTTGTTTGCCCACCGCTGTCATGGAATCCGGTAACTATGCCCGTTCCCGCGAGGACTCACTTACCAATCCCCAGGCTGTGCCATTAGTATTGACCAGTGCCAATCCATCGTACTGCCCACCACAACAACCCCAACCTGCTGCCAGGGAATATATGTCTTCATCCACCTTAGATGTGATGAGTCCACCGAACAGTACCCTGACAAGTCCCAGTATTCCTGCAATGCAGCAACAGCCGCTGACCGATTACACAGATGATGACTTGGAATCGGAAAATCTCACAGAGTATAGGGCCGTCAGCAAGGTCATGGCTAAACCGCAATCACAGACAGCTGTGACCGTGGGCAGACGCACCGGTCATGTTAGTGACGACGAGGTCTATGGCAAGAACTCGAAAGCGGCCAAGAGTCTACTTTCGACGATGAAGAGCATTGGCAGCAAAACCAATGGCGAGAGTAAACAACGTCCACCGGTTTTACAAACAACCAAACGTCCCGAGCCGGTAACCTCTCCCCAGACGTGCCTTTCACCCGATGGTCGTGCATACCAAGCACCCATGGTAGATCCCATCTTTCCAGATCTAACCAACTTCGAACCAAATCGTAAGCCGCTCTACGAGGGCAGCACAAAAAAACCTCAGGCAACACCAACTCCCTATGGTCAGCCCAGGAACCAACCAACAATGTACAAGAGTCTGGAAAACATAGCTAAGCGTGTTCCACCGCCACAGCAATCGCCTGTTGCAAATCAAAACCATGCCCCAACATATGTCCCCAGACAATGCCCATCCCCGACACCCTATGTCAGTGAGACGCAGACTTCATACGTCGTCACATATCCCATCGACGACACCACCGATGATGAAGATCAAAGCAGATACTCGTCGTACAGCCGCAGTAGTGATGCTGTTCCCATGCGCAGATCAAGGAACACCAGCGAAACATCTACCCTTAGTTCCACGACCACGGCTCCGATGGTCTATAGCAACCATGTGCCCTCGCCGAATACCAGTTGGACGACAAATCCCATTAATGAGCCCACCATAGTTGCCACATCGGGTCAAAGTTTCTATGAACCAGCTCAAGTACAAGGCTATGCAACGAGCCAATCAAACGCTCCAACCACCTTATCAAAGGCATCGCCATCCTATCAGACCCCTAAGATGTCAACACAATATCAGCCATCTTCACCGGCAGCCTATACCAATTCGATGCCAGCTCCCTACCCGGCAACGACGACGACAACGCAATATCAGTCCACTTCGCAGGTATCACAGCCTTCTCCTACGAAAACAAATTATACCAGTCCTCCGCAGTATCCAACCTCATACCCCAGCAGTCAACAAACCAACCATTATGAGGTCTCGCAACCGCAGATACAACAACAGCTTCCCGCTCAAGTACCCACTAACCAAACAAAAACTCCAGTCATGCAAACCAGTCAACCGGTTGTAGCGCCGCAAAAAACGTCATCGGCAACCCCAGCCAAGTCCAAGAAAACCGTGACTTCATCAGCCTCCAAACAAACGCAGGAGAAGGTCAGTATCAAAACCTCTTTGGCCAACATGAGAAAGTCGGTAAGTGAAGACTATCAGGACGTGAAAAGTGTGACAACAGCAACCAGAAAGTCGAGCATCAGCAAGGACACTGCCAGCAACAAAGTGGAGCAAAAGAAAATCGAAAGCCAAACAGCTACAACCGATGTTCGCCGCAAAAGTTTAGGCAGTACTGTGGAATATCAAAAAACCGAAGAACGCCATACCACTGCCATGGCTACAAAACAGACCGTGCAGCCAGAGCAACAAATTTACAAATCCTCCGCCCCGCCAGATACGCCTGACATTGTAAAATCATCTCTGCCCAAAGATGAAAATCAGCCGATTCTTAAAAAATTCGGTCCACCCCAGAGACATCATTACACTCCAAATTCGTACCAAAGTCCCCTAGGCAAAGGCGATACAACTACAGCGACCACGGCGTCCAAAACAGAGCACCACGCGAAAAGTGTCAAAGTAACGGCCACCAAATCAATTCTCAAGACATCGGCCACAACGAAAGCGCCCACCGTCATTGAAAAGCCCGCTTCCCCCGAACCCGAGGAGGAATACATACCCCGCAATATTGTCTACAATAACATTCACGCCTTCACAGCAATGTCGGCACGACGTCCCGACGAGAACCGATCTCACTTTGAGCCCGTCATCCGACCGAACAAACTCAGTAAGTCCGATTCTTGGAATCAAATTGTCAACCTGCAAAATCAAGCATCCGCACAGAAATTCGTACCATCACCCACAAATGAACTGAGACGTACCAAGTCTGGCCACACCCTGAGCATACCGAAAATGTATGAGGCCGGCTTGGATAAGACCGAAGTTACCGAAAAGCAAAGAACCGTTGCCGCCTATTTCTCGGGTCAGAAGTCACCCGTGCACCACGAACAGACGGTGGTCGAGCAAACCAAGAAGTCCACCATAAATCGCACCAAGACCAGCGAGAAAATATCGGCCAGTCGCAAGTCGATGGGCTCCCACCACACGGTCAGTCAGGGCGGTGGCTTGACACGCAGTGCCACCATGCCACACATAGCCAATTTGCGTTTGCTGGACGAAAGCAATGTTGAGGATGCTTTCGAACAGCTGATGATGGGTTCATAGTTCATTGTCATCGCCGTTTGTTGTTTCTGCCATTTCTGCCGGCTTTCTGGCATGCCCTCTCAACATCTCAAGCTTAATCTCTGAAGAAACTGAAAAGAAAGAAACCAGAACCATCACCACCACCAACCAGCCATCATTCCAAAGTGATTACGTTGAAATCACCTCCTGATGTTGCCCCATTGCCACCATCTCTAACAGGCCGGCAATCCCAACTCCCCCACCACCTACTCCCCAGGCATACATTGTATAGTTAGTTATAGTTTTGTTCCTCCCCCCACCAAGTTTTCTTTTTTCTTGAATTTCGTTATTGTTTAACGTTTTTTCTTCATCATAAATTTGCGACGATGACGACGACAACAACTACCCTGACAAAGACAGTGAGACACTGACTGGCAAGAAGTGATTTATTTTTCCACCACCAAAGAAAAGAAGTTGAGGGACTTCATGTTGTTTATTTTGTACAAAAAGAAAAAGAAACAAACAAACAAATGATTTCAAATGAGAAACGTCTTCCGCAAACCAAATAAAATCGAACAAACACCACAGCTGTTTAATTACCGTTAAATTTACTGTCACTCCCAACACTCCCAATTACCATCAACCACCAGCCACAACACTTCCTTTTGCACCAATCGAAACTCGTTGACATTTGATCGATAACTCGTTATCAATCGCTGGCACTGACTACAATCCTCGCCGCGTTGTTATGGATGAGCAGACAGACATCAACAACAGATCGCTCGAAAAAAAAAACAACGACGATAACCACATGTGTTGTTCGCCCCCTAAAAGTTTCCAACAAAAAAACAAAATACTTGTGAGTCTACCACCAATGAAAATTAAAAAAAAAAACACATCCACGCCCAAAAGTGCCTTAAATTGTGTAATTGTCCTTCGCGCGCTATTCTTCAAATTAATATTTTCGAGCATGAAAGAATCCTGTCGATTTCGACAACAGTGTTTCAATCGTTTGCTTGTTTCAAACCAGTCGAATGCCCGTAACAAACCAATTCGTTATCGCTTTAATTTCATTTTTTTTTTTTGGTTCCATGATTCTTCTTTAACATTTGTTAACTCTTCAACTGTTGTGTACTATGTGTGGACCCCATGGAAAGATAGATATGTCAAATTCGATTTGTATATACATATATAAAAAATTCTAACCTTTATCGAAAGAAAAAAAAACAGAAATTCGAAAAGTTCATGCCAAAAAACCAAAACACATTTTTGATCGAAAAGAAGAGTTCTGATGGCTTTAATTCGATTTGTTGTGTAATGTAAACGTAGATCCGATTTGGTGAATATCAGAGTAGCTTTTTATATAAAAATGTTTTGCAGTGTTTAATTTTGAGTTAAAAGTCCTTTGGAAAATGCATTTAGAAATACATCTTTAGCTATTCAGCTGTAGATAAGATGTTATTGCAAAAGCTTTTTCCTGTTTTAGTAGGCAGTTACAATTGAAAAACCCTAAAAAGATAAATAAAAAAAATATTTTTTTACGCAGCTACTGAAGATAATTGTCGATAACTTGTTATTGGAACGTTTTTTTTCCTCGGTGGGCAATGAAATTATTGCCGTTTTTACTTGTTTTCTATACATGCAAGGCATTACTCTCAGAGCGAATTGCAAATATTGCTCTCTCATTTTATTAACTATGTTCCGAAGTCTGCAATTTCCATAATTCTTCACTAGAAACCCTCTTTTTATCCAACCAGCAACAAGTTAAACTTGTAAAAAATGTTAGAGAAAATGGTCCAATTCATATTAACGGAAACAATAGGGTCTGTTTCAGAACCTGCAATAATATACTAGTTTTGCAATTTGATATTATTGACTCATATACTCGCCGATGTCGATATTTTACAGGGTGAGACAAAAAAATGCAACCCAGTCTAACGCCATAAATAGCATCAAATTTTAGAATAAGTTTAGAATTGGGCACCTTTGGCACGAATTATGGCTTTCAAACGGCCAATGAAACCGTCACACTCTGTCCGAATGTTACTTTGCAGTATTTTGGCCCATTCCCGCCGAAGCGCTTGCGCCAACCTTGCTTTAAAAAATACTCCAGATACAATAGTCCAACGGATTGATTTCCGGAGATTTTGGTGGCCATTTAGTAACCATTCTTGGGTGGAGCGTGCTGAGTCCTGTTTGCGTACCCAAGGCTTTAATTCACCCTCCAGATTATTTTCGCGATAATATTCGGCATTTATTCTGATGCCACGATCGATTAATACGAGCGGAGAGCGACCATCGGCCGGCGCTTGAGTTCTGGTGGCCAACCGCTATCACGCTTTAATTCCATCACGAACAACTTTTTTTCTGGAAAATTCTCACCAAAATGCTTTTGTACGCTTGTAAAAAATATAACGAGCCGTCACTGGAATAATTTTAACAGCTGTCGGACGTGTGGCTTACAAATGACAGCAGTCTAAAGTTGGTTGCAGTTTATTCATCTCACCCTGTATTTCAATAATCGACTATGGGACACCCCAATATATTGGAATTGATAAATATCTAGTCCTTGTGTATTTTAGGTGAACATTCCAAAGGACATTATCTAACAGGATTCCATTTACCAAAATCTGCATACATACACAACAATAAGAAAAGCCTTCGAACTACAAAAAAGTAATGCTTTTGCGTTTTAATAACTAGAATATATTAGAGAGCTTCAAACCAACCAAGAAAAAAAAAACAAATAATTAACCAAATAAAATAAACCACATGATGTCCCTCCTTCTGTTGTTGTAAAACCGTTTGTACATATGAAAAAAAAATGAATCCTTCAACAAAACCCACCATTAGCCAACAAAACTGCCAAGCTGCCGCCAGCGCAACCAATAAAACCATGATCCCGACGACAATTTGTAAATATTTTCCAAACAACCTGACCTGATTTGACATGAAATTTAACTTCGATCGGCTAAAACAAGCTTTCGCATGAGTTACAATTTATGATTGCCTTTGATTGGGGCTGTTTTCAGAACCCTGTGAGATGTTTTTATTTGTGTTTATTTTGATCTTCGTTTTTTTGTTTCGCATGATGAGTGAGTATACAGTCGTATCAGGTTATAAAGAATGCAATCATTTTAAAAATTAAAAAAATATATTTCTTTTTTGAAAATCGTCTAAAAAATCAATATTCCATTGAAAAAAAAAAAAAAACAAAAAAAATTGTTTGCTTTTGAATCGTTTTACAGAATTAACCGACACGTGTGGGTGTAAAAAAAGAGTTCTTTCTAAACCTGATCGACTGGGATACGTCCCCCGAAAGTGCTACGTTTCCGAAGTAGTGGCTTATATTTTTTTTCTAACCCCACTGTTTTTGCAAATATCTAGATACATAAAAAATGCCAACGATTTTTTTTCACAGTCTGTAAATATTTTTATTTGTAGATTTGATTCAGTGTTTTGAATGTGTTTTATTTATTTATTTATTTTTTTTTTTTTTGGAAATTCTCTACTATTTGTACATTATGCATGATATTATTTGTTTTATTATTTTTATATGTCATTATCGGGCCTACATTCCCGCCAACAACACTTTCTATTTCTTTCCTTTTTCTTCATTACTGAAACATGGCATATCTTCTCCATATCTTCTTAACAGATGCAAAACCACAACAGTCTTGCACATCGACAACCGAAAAAACCGAAACGAAGGGTAAAGATGGAGCTGTTGTAACCACAACTACTAAAGGTAAGTGAAATAATCATTGATCCTCTACTCCTGTCATTGACATCATTTGACAACTGTTTGACATTTGAGGAAGGCTAGTTGAATTAGAGAAGGACTTATGGGCTTTAAGATGGCGAATCTTAAGATTGAGCTGGCATGCGAATATTGTGTTGTTATCTAATTTTAAACTGGTTTTTCTTTCTCTTCTTTTTCCAGTTACAACTCGTACTGTGAGTGGAACAGGCCCTAAACCCGTTTCACCATTTGCCAAATTCAAGCAATTGGATAGACAAAATTCTCAACAATCAACAAAGTAAGTATAACGATTTTGTTTCCACTCTACGTAGTCTGAAATTCTCATTCACAAATATAGTAGATATCAATTTTGCTGTACAGTATGGACAAAGCGATTCGATTTATATGGGGGCCAGGTGTAGCGACCTTTATTTCGACTCAATCCCTAGATTCTCTGTGACAGATTTTGTGTAGAATCTTTGGATTAAATTTTACAGTTGGGGTCTAATTTTTTTTTTATCAGATTCCTACTAAAATTTAGGTTTCCAGCAGGAACTGAAAACTAAGAAAGATATCAAAATATCTCTTTAACATATGCACCTGTTAAAGCTTGTTTTTAAAGCGTATATATCTTTTAGTTACGATCCTAGTTTCATATTCAAAGAAAAGTTTATAATCTTCCCAAAATAAAATTTATTTTCTGTAACGATTTGTACTCCGTGAGAAGACCCAATGACGAATATTTTGCTTGGTTTTAGTGGTACAATCTAAGAAGTTTTCAATTCCCAGATCTAATGTCGATTTTCTACTTTTTGCATTTTTATTTATTTGATGTTTATTTATGAAAAGACACTAGCATAGTCATTTCACAGTTTGGCTCTATCCTCCCATCCTATTGAACATACAACCTGAATTAAATGATGTCATTCCCAATTACCTTTTTATACCCTCAGCCATATGGGTAGAGAGGGTATATAACATTTGATACGGCCAAAACGTGCCTAATCGAAATAACGGTCTCTTGGGACGAAATCAGTTTCAGGACATTTGGAGTCGATCTAGCGATGTCCGTCCGTCTGACTGGTGCGCACTATAACTCTCGAAGGAATTAACCGATTTCGTACAAACTTAGTACATCATAATATTATTATCAAATTTAGATCGAGCTCGGAGATGGGCAATATCGGTTCACTCTTTCTGGTACCTCCCCCACAAAAGGTCGAAGTTTTCAAAGAAAATATTTTACTGCTCAGAAAGAGAAAGGATAATCCGATTTTGCTTAAACTTTGCACATCCTAATATTTGTATCAGTGTCCATTCCATGATTAATACCGATTAATACCTTTTACCTTGTTACAAAAGCAAATTAATCTTTCAGACCTGAGTTTGATTTTCTAGACTAGATCTATGTCCATACTGTATTCAAAATTGATATAAAACCACATATAATAATAATAAAAAAAGATATATTTGTAGATTCATTGCATTATTCATTCCTATACAGGTGGTTGGTAATATTAATTTTAATTTATTTTCATTTAAAACAATAAACAAATGTAGAGTAGAAAACATCACATGTTGAAATATAAAAAAAGATATATCCAAACACATTTCACATCTACACCTGAAACACAAATAATACACCGAAATAAAACTATAATATATATACCCATACATATTTACACAAAAATTATTAAAACAACAATCAATGCAGTAGATAGATCTGCGGCCACTTTCTCTACTTTCCTCTTTTTTACTTCTGTTTTCTTTTACTTTACAAGACAACTTGTTTCTAATCTCAGAAAGCCAAAAATTCTGCAGTAGCAAATCTACACGATTTCAAATAAATAAAAAAAAAACATTTGTAGACGATTTGTTTAACCCCCTTCTCTTTGCTAAACAAACAAAAAAGAGTCAACAAACCAACAGAACCACCAATCAATAAGTTGAGTTAACAAAATTTTCGTTTTAGTTGTTGTAATTACAAAAAAAAAATTAAAAAAAAACTAAAAATTAATTTCGAATAAACCTAAATCATTTGTTGTTCAGATCTCCAACAACACCCACAACACCCGGTGGAGGCCCTGCAGCCTCACCCTCTGCTACCGGTAATGCACCGATATTCAGATTTACCGATCCTTCATTAAATGCCCGTGCCGCCACTGCTAAGGAGCAGCTTCTACAGTGGTGTCAATTGAAAACAAAGGAATACGAGGTATAATAAACAAAGAACAATTGTTTTAAAATCTTTTAAATTTGTTTTGATGAGTGAGAGTTGGAACAAAAGCAACTCACCACCCAATACAGCTCTCTCTCTCACTCTCTCTATTCATGCAAATGAGTGTTGTGTTCTCCCTTTTTAATTTCTTCTAATTTTTTTTATTTTCCTAAAATTTCAATTGACATTTAATTTAATTTTCGATATAATTGTGCAGTTTAATACTTAATACTTATCTATTCGCAAATCTATCTGCTCAGTAACAAAAAATGTCCACTGCCGCCAACGCTTACTTTCAACCTATTTACATTAAATTACAAGAATCTCAAAACAATGCTTCAAATAACAAAACAACAGCAGCAGCTTTTTGTAATAAATCTGTAAAATATTGGTACAAAGCTTACTGTTTCTTATGCTATATTTATTTATTTATTTACTATTTGCATGCCTAACAGCCGACGAGAATCTGGTGACCTAGTCAAATTTTTGGCCTTATTGAGTGTATTCAAATGGAAAAATACAAATTGTGAAGAATATTTTATATAAAAAAGTAATAATAGTTAAAGAAAAAATATTATAATGTAATATTATGTAATATTATAATGTAATAATTTGAATCAGCAACCACGACCTGTACTTTTTTACAAGACATGTCCAATTTTTAAATATACAGGGTGAGATGAAAAAACTGCAACTGCGTGATTGTGTGATTTCTTTATATTTGGCTGGAAAACCGCAACTGACTATCGTTAGAGCACTCCGTGAATGTGAATAAATCTTTTGTGTCTCGTACCATCGTTCCTTACCGTGGTACTGGTAGCGTAGCCCGACGTCAAGGAAGTGGACGGAAGAAAACAACAACATCAGCAGAAATGGTTCGAAAAGTAAAGAAGCGACTTGATCGAAACCCGTGTCGCAGTGGCCGAAAAATGGTTCGTGAGCTGAACAGAACATATCGCAATATTCCATTGAAATTCCAAAAAGTGCAAGAACTTACACCGCAACAGAAAGGAAATAGACTCAAAAGAGCTAAAGAGATGCTTCGCTTGGCCCAATGTGGTGAACTGCCGAATTTGGTTTTCTTCGATGAGAAAATATTCGTTGTCCAGCAGTTTGTAAACAAACAAAATGATCGTGTTTACTTGCCAAAGAGGTCAGCTGAAAATGTGCACCTTCGGTTGACCACCAGAACTCAAGCGCCGGCCATGGTGATTGTGTGGGCAGCCATAACAGCCGATGGTTGCTCTCTGCTCGTATTAATCGATCGTGGCATCAGAATAAATGCCGAATATTATCGCGAGAATATTCTGAAAGGGAATATTAAAGCCTTGGGCATGCAAACATTTTGGCCGCAGACCTTGGACATTCCAACAGGACTCAGCACAATCGCATTCAGCACGCGCCGCCCAAGAATTGTTACAATATTAGATTCCTCGCTTCATTTTCAGCGCACAATGCCCACCAAAATCTCCGGAATGAGCCAAAATACCGCAGAGCAACATTCGGGCAGCGTGTGATGGTTTTATTGGCCGTTTGAAGGCCATAATTCGAACAAATCTAAACTTATTCTAAAATTTGATGCTACTTCCGAAAGTTTTTATTTTCATTCAATAGAATTAAAAAAAATGTAAAAATTATGGCGTTAGACTTTGTTGCAGTTTTTTTAGCTCATCCTGTATGTTTTGCATTCGTCTTTAATTTGTAAACTGTACACTGTCCGTCTTCTTCGAAAAACCCTTATACTAGAGCGCACAACAGGCCTATACTGGCCTATGCTCTAAAAGGGCATGCGGCGAATTGTGTCGCCTCTCTTTTCAACCTAACCTAATATTTATTTGATTAAATGCATAGTCCACAAATAATATTTGAATACACTCAATAATATATATTTACAAGCCTCAGTTAATCATAACATCTCACTATAAATATTTATAATTTTTTGACTAATTTTTATTTTTCACAATTTGTTTTTATAGAATGTCCAAATAACCAACTTTAGTTCGTCCTGGGTCGATGGTTTAGCATTTTGTGCCCTGATACATCATTTCTTGCCAGATGCCTTCGATTATAGTAAACTAACTCCACAAAATAGAAGAGAAAATTTCGAATTAGCTTTCACAGTGGCAGAGTAAGTATCCGTTATTTCTCAATATATATTTTCCAGCAACAACAACAATAACATTGTGTTACTATTGCAGCGAGAAAGCCGGCATAGCCCCCCTATTAGATGTTGAAGATATGGTTGTGATGAAACGACCCGACTGGAAATGTGTCTTTGTCTATGTGCAAAGCATCTATCGCCGTTTTCGAAATTGCCAATAATTTTCAGCACACGTGCTCACTCACTCACTTACTCAATTGAAAAACAAAAACCTCAACAAAAAACTATTTCTTTTTTCATCTTTTACTAATAAATAATTTTTGTTTCACAAGCCTTTAACCCAGCCACGTACAGGGTTAAAGTCCACACTTTTTAATGTTTGTATCAGGTCAAGTGATGAATAGAGTAGTGTTCAGTACTTTGTATTTGTTTGTTAAAAAAAATATGTATGTCCTTCCCAATGTGTAATGCACTCGTATAATTTGCTGTTATTTGTATTTTATTTTTACCAATTATGAAAAAAAAAAACGAATATTCAACAGGCAATATTTCTATGGAAATGATCAACTTGTAGTGCCTCTGTTGGTATTCACAATCACCAATACATTTCAGGTGATATATTGTTTTTATTTTTATACATACATACATGAATATCGATTATTCATAAAGTTTTGTTTTCTTTTAGATACTCATAATATTGTAATTAATTCTATAAATATATAAAACAGAAATCAATATCTATGTATTTCTACTCACTTTTATTATTTTCTATTACTAACATTTGAAAACTGTGCGCCACATCAAGCCACATCAATTCAAATATTTTGTTATCAATCAACTTTGAAAATACATTTGATTCGATTTGATTTTATTTCTGCTTTTGTTGAACATGAATCTTCAAATGAACTCGTATTTTTAAGCATCCAATATGTAACGAATGTTTTCTTTTTGTTAAACTGAAATCAGGTCAGCCCATTTAGAAAGCAACAGCTCAATTTTCTTATTTTTATTATTATGTATTTTATAAACGATATATTGAACTAATGTTTTGAATTATAAGAATGAGAATGAATAAAATATTAACATTCAATGGAAACTGTGTTTTAATTTATGCTACTAGAAGTTGGTCCAGATGTAACGTATGAACTCAGTACATTTGCATGAGTTCGTTAGAAGTTTCAATAGATCCGAAGTGTTAAACATATTAAAAATGCATAAAATAGACTATACCAAACACAATTGGATCTTTAGCTAAGGTAAAACTAAAAACCAAATATGCCTTACAATTCAAATGATTGTGTTTCGTAGTTATTTGACACTTAAGGTTGAGATAAAACAAGTAAAAAAGCTGTAAGTTCGGCCGGCCCACCATTTGGAACGAATTTGACAATTCTCAAAATCAATAAAATCCGTTAAAAAATCTGTTAAAATCTTAAAAATGCCGAATGTAGCTGTTATATTAGGGTCCATGGACATGGACCTGTATAGGTAGCATTTGTCATAATTCAAATGCAAAACTTAAAAAAAACCGGTAACAATGTAGCTAAAATCATCAAAATACCGAATATCGGGAAGTACCGTTATATGGGGGCTATACGAAGACGAGGACCGACACAGCCAATTTTCTGTCTTAGGCTGTAGTATCTATTACGAACTTCAAATACCAAATTTTAAACAATTCCGGTTAATAACGTCACTAAAATAATCAAAATACCGAAAATAGGGAGGTACCGTTATATGGGGGCTATACCAAAACGTGGACCTTCATGGCCGATTTTCAATACCAAAAGTCCTGCAGACATAACATATTTGAGTAAAATTGTATCAATCTACTTCAATTCGTTCTGAAGCTAGAGTGATTGCCACAGGCGGATAGACGGATGGACATCGCTAAATGGACATAGAATTTTATGTTGCTCAAGAATATATATACTTTGTGGGGTCTAAAATGTATATTTCGAGATGTTACAAACTTAATATACCCTCCATACTATGGGGGTGGGTATAAAAACTGCAACAAAGTCAAACACCATATTTTTTACATTTTTTTAATTTATATATAGTATTGTCCAACGGATTGGTATCCGGAGATTTTGTAACCATACTTGTGTGGCGCGTACTGAGTCCTGTTGGAATGTCCAAGGTTTGTGGCCAAAATGTTTGCGTTCCAGAGAATGTTCGCGATAATATTCGGCATTTATTCTGGTACCACGGTCGATTAATACGAGCCGAGAAATACCACCGGCTGTTATGTCGGCCCACACCATCACCATGGCCAGCGCTTGAGTTCTGGTGGCCAACCGAAGGTGCACACTTTCAGCTGACCTCTTGGACAAGTAAACACAAAAATTCGGCAGTTCACCACTTTAGGGCAAGCGAAGCAACTATTTAGCTCTTTTGAGTCTATTTTCTTTTTCTTGCGGTGTAAGTTCTTGCACTTTTTAGAATTTCAATGGCTTTACCCCGAGCTCATTTTTCAATATTTGCCGAATGGAATATTGCGATATGTTCAGCCCAAGAGTCATTTTTCAACCACTGCGACGCGCGTTTCGATCAAGTCGTTTCTTTACTTTTCCGACCATTTCTGCTGGTGTTTTGTTTTCTTCCGTCCACTTCCTTGGCGTCGGGCTTAGCTACCAGTATCACGGTAACGAACAATGGTACGAGACACAAACGATTTATTCACATTTAGATGCTGGAGTGCTCTAACGATAGCCACTGTTTGGTTTACCAGCCAACAACTTTTTTCTGGAAAATTCTCACTAAAATGCTTTTCTATACTAGTAAACAATATAATGAGCTGTCACTGGAATAATTTTAACATGTGTCGGACAAGTGGCTTAGAAATGACAGCAGTCTGAAGTTGGATGCAGTTTTTTCATGTCATCCTGTACACCAAATTGACTATACAACACAAATTGAATCAAATTGATTGTGTAATACAGAAAACCAAATAGGCTTTCAAATTCAAATAATTGTGTTTTGTAGTTCTTTGGTACTACCATGAACAATTAAATGTTCGAAAAATGAAAGCATATCCAAACGCGTTCCCATAAGGGACTACATACTTTGACTAGATGATAATTTCTAATAGCCTTCAAATCAGAAATCACAGCTAGAGAAAATTCCAAAGTGGTTATTGAAATGAATACATAACATTTTTGGGAAAGATAAATGAATTGGGAAGCTTATTAAGCTACCACATGCGATATGACCAATACGACAACTTTAACCAGTATTAAATGTATTAAAGCAATTGGAGACGACAATAAAAGTAAATCCGCTATTTTGAGAAAAACTTTTTTTTCGTGTACCTATAATTCTTATATGCAAGCCATAAATTAGCTTTCAAGAAATGAAGAATTAAGTTATGTCAGTGGTACAACAGCATAGCAGAAAATGCGAACCGATAGTCGTTCTCTGAACAAGAACAAATAGTATCAGTCGGTTTTGCCGACAGATGTATACCCAGCCTTAAGGTTTGATTATTGTTGACTCTTTATGGAGGATTTCCGAAGCAGATGGCCAATATTATTCAATTCGATTAATTACATATTCATATCAGATTGCAGGCTAAGAGAAATATTTAGGTATAGCAAATTGGAAGTTTGAAATTTGAAAAGAGTTTGATGTTTTTCTCGAGTTTTATGAGCATTTTGTTCTTCAAAATTTTGAACCCTTTGTGGGGTAAGTACCAGAAGGAGCGCACCAATATATCCTATTTTCACAGTAGATCTTCTTTTGTTATTTCGGATTTTATAATAGTTCTTGCTATTCGAAACTTTGACCCTTTGTGGGGGAGGTACCATCAATCAATATCAATCTCTACCATATTTTTAATAACAGATCTTGTGTTGATAGATATATTGAAATGTGTCTGAATGGAATCGGATGTTAATTTCGCGTTTTATGAGTATCATAGATATTCAAAATTTTGCCCCTTCGTAGGGGAGGAACCATAAGAAATAATCCGATCTCTACCATCTTTATAAAAGATCTTGTGTTGTTGGAAATATTGGGTTTTGTCAAGTCTGAATGTAATCGGATGTTAATTTCCCGATAAATTTTCAAAATGTTGATCCTTTTGTAACAACTCTTGAGTTGATTGAAACACTTAGATGTACCAAGTGTGAATGGAACGCATGATAATTTCACATTTTATGGGCTTCATGGATATTCAAAATTTTGACCCCTTTGTGGGGGAGGTACCAGAAGGAGTGGACCAATATATTCCATCTTCACACCAGACCTTGGGTTAATAAAAATATTGGGGTGTGTGTAATTTGACAATTGGTCTCCTACATCACATTTTATAAAAAAATATAATTATTCAAAATGTTAACCCTTTGTGGGCGAGGTACTTGATGGAGTGGACTGATATTGTACTAGAACTGATGCAAATATTACGATTTGCCAAGTTGGAGCATAATCAGCATAATTATCCTTTCTCTTTCAAACATTGAACTTTTATGGGGGAGGGTCTGGGGTCTAAAACTGTTATTTTGATTAGGCACGTTTTGACCGTATATATACCCTCCCTATCCATATGGCTGAGCGTATAACAAGGTATAAGTTTGGTACTGGTAATTACTTTACTTGATGTCCTTAGGTAATGTTTATTAGGAGTATAAGTTTGAGGGCCAAAAATATGTCACAGCAATGAGCACCACAAGAAACACAAGCAAACTCGTGAGGATATTTCAAAATTATTACTTTTAGATTGTGCTAATCCAGATAGTATTTTTTATATCTTTTTTTCTTCCAAGTATTTATCATTTTATATGTAACAAACACACAAAAATCGACAAGTTTAAACAGCAATTTTTCGAAAAATATATATACGATAATGTGGATATATCGGATAGATCCTGCCTGCAGACAAAAGACTGATCTTATTAGCTTCCTATCTTTCCTATCTTATTTATATTTTGATTCTAGCGTGATTACCCCAGATAGACTTTGTGGTATAAAAACCGTTAAAGGGTAAATATATATATATAATAAATGTATATATTATATATAATAGACCTAATATACCATTCATGGAGTCAGACTCAGACCGATATATCCCCATCTTCACAGCAGATCTTGCATTACCATCAGGATCCGGGAGGGACCTGAAGGAATGGTCCGATCTCCACCATCTTACAAATGACGCCACTTTATATCCTTGCCACTTTACGCACTTTATATCCGTGGTTGTCCAAGGTGTATGCATAGCAAAGCAATTAGAATTATTTACTTACCTATTTTTTAAATAGTCCTGTCTAACAAATTTGTTCAATACAATTCCTTGGTTGTTTTATTGGTTTTATCCCTCCTTAATCTTATTGGTCTTATTGGTGTTCAGAGTTGGTTGATTGTCGTCTCTGCTTCAAGCGCGCGCTTTCGTTTGTTTGGTTGGTTGTTCGTTGCGAGCGTAGAAAACAAAAATGAAAAACGTCCCAACGAAACGAATATGAAGGCCACAAAGGAATACCCGTCTGTTGTTTACGAATGAGTGTAATGCATAACGCCCGAGTACTGTTGTTTACAAATGAGACGTGAGAAAAATTGAACATCTTCACTAAAGAGCGCGGGACTAGTTGCTACAATCAAATATTTGGAGTTACCATACTCGTATATTCAGCGCTGTTCATTAAGGTATTAAAAATAATAATCGACATCGATATTTCTTTAAAAGGCAAATTATCGATTTGTAGATCCCATCGATATTTCTTTGAAAAGACTATTTATCGATTTGTAGATCCCTAACAAGAAAAAAACGACAGTTCACAAACGAAACAAAGACGGCGGAGACGCTCTTTCTTTTCTATATTTTCAGTGAAAAGTTAAGGTTGAAAGTTTGTGGAATTCTCATTTGGAAAAAGAAGAATACAAGTTTTTTTGAATTAATTAAAATTACGTGTGGTGGCAGACAAAATCGGAAGAGAAAAGTGAAAGAATTGCAAATACCTGAGACAGTCTCTTTTTGTGTTTCGTTGGTCCATTGATTTGTGTTTTTCTTGTGTCGTGTTGTGCTTCCCCACCAAAATCCCAATCCAACCATGGAGAATGTTGGGGCGAAACGTGAAACTCTTTACGACCGCTGTCTTTGCTGTTTTGTCTCCAAGCTCAACTACAAATCCCAGTCGTTGGCCGCAGTCCTGCAGCTCCGTTACCTGCCTCCCAGTGTGCTAATCGACATTTATGTTTTGGTAAGACATTTTATCCATTAACAAACATACATCTCAAGGTTAAATTTACCAATTTGTCGATATGTTGCGACGTTGTCGTGTACATACAAACAATAACAAGAACAACAACAATTGAAGACCATTTTTGGCAAAAAAGTATTTCCCATTTACATATTGAAGGATGGATGAATTGCTGGTTATATGGTAAGGGTCATATGGGAGAGACCGAACGACTGGGTGCATGTGTGTGTGCTTTAGCAGTTCTGTACGTGACAATAGGTATTTATTGTTGCGAACGAACGGAACACACAGGTACACAGGTGATCCCAAAAATAAACAAAACAAGTTTGTTTAGATTTGCATTGTCTTAAAGATAATCTACCTTTTTTCTGTTTTCTTGCAGAATCATTCATTGCCCTTCGTATTGCATAATATCTTCTGAATCTCATAGCTAACGAACAATATTAACAATAAGAAAAACGCCCTTCAACTTTCTAACAAAACAGCAAGACAATTTGCAGTAATGATCAGAATCACATGACAAAAGAATCGGAATCGGTGCCCCATCTGTAGCATAGCATAAGTTCTTAATTGATATGTAATTAGGATGAAAAGATGCCATTGTGTATTGCGTGCCATTATTTATTGCCTTCTTCCATTTGTTGAAGAATCTTTTTATCAGTTGATTTAAATGCCATTGATCCGTCGTCCAGCACAGTTCAGTGGCATTCATCTTCATCATGTCTTTATAAACTTATTATTGTTATGACGACTGCATGTGCAAAAACTGTAAAGCAGAAGCAACAAATAGCTTTGCCAGTTATATCTATAGAAGAATGGCTGATGTTCTCTATCGAACAACAGGCTGGGCGCAACAGACAGTGGACTTATGGGTCGCCACAGAGCTTGTCCAAAAGTCAACGTCTTCTTCTTATGTCTTGTCTTTTAAACATTTATTAAATTAATTTGCTTTTAGTTCTTATTTTGTATTGCGATAGGTCAAGGTATGCATATGTATTGTTGCATTCATTCAGTCAGTTATCATTGGCCACAAAGCTTTATCAATTTGTTTATTTTCAAATTGTAGCGGTAAAAATGTAGATTGAGTAGCGACTAGTAAACAAATGGATGAAAGCCATAACATTTAAGTGCTTTAAAGAATGAAAGCAGGTGGTACAATTGTAGGCGTAACGCAATGGTGATCAATTAAATGTCTGATCACTCATGCCAATGTTATTTTTATAATTGTTAAAGTATTTCCATCCTCTCTTAAACGCTAGGAAAACAAAACAATTTTCTGCCCAATTAAACTGATCAACTCTTTATTTATTTGTACTAAAATAAATAATGACAAATATCGATCTAAAATATTTATTTTTGTACCTGAAATATATTAACCAGCTTGTTTGTCAAAACACATTGAGACTGGGAAATTTTGTCTTTTACTATCTACTATCTCTTCATATCCCAATGATAATGATAAAAAGATAACAAATATATGTTAGCAATTATTTACTCTGCTACATTCATATTAAAAGAACGTGTTTGCCTACAATGATTACAACAATGTATTAATCGACTATTGATTTAATGGATAATGTTAACGGTTTGCATGTACAGGATGAGATAATAAAACAGCAACAAAGTCAAACGCCAGAATTTTTAAGTTTTTTTTTTAGAAGTTTAGATTTGTTCCAATTGGTCACCTTTGGCAAGAATTTTGGCCTTCAAACGGCCAATGAAACCATCACACGCTGCCCGAATGTTGCTCTGCGGTACTTTGGCGCATTTCCTGCGAAGCGCTTGCTTAAGGTCATCGACACTTTGGTATTTTTGTAGTTCCAAACTTGCTTTCCAAAAACTTCAGACACAATAGTCCAACGGATTGATTTTGGTGATTTTGGTGGACATTGTGCATTGTGCCATTGTGCTGGAAATGAAGCGAGGGACCTCATTTTGTAACCAACCTTGGGTGGCGTGTGCTGAGTGCGATGGTGCTGAGTCCTGTTGGAAAATCCAAGGTCTGCGACCAAAATGTTTGCGTGGCCAAGGCTTTAATTCACCCTCCAGAATATTTTCGAGATAATATTCGGTATTTGTTCTGATACCACGGCTGTTATGGCGGCCCACACCATCACCATGGCCGGCGCTTGAGTTCTGGTGGCCAACCGAAGGTGCACATTTTCAGCTGACCTCGGCAGTTCACCACTTTCGGCCAAGCGAACAACTCTTTTGCTCTTGAGTCTATTTTCGTTCTGTTGCGGTGTAAGTTTTTGCACTTTTTGGAATTTCAATGGCTCATTTTTCAATATTTGCCGAATGAAATATTGCGATATATTCAGCTCACGAACCATTTCCGGCCACTGCGACGCGGGTTTCGATCAAGTCGCTTCTTTACTTTTCTAACCATTTCTGCTAATGTTGCTGTTTTCTTCCGTCCACTTCCTTGACCTCGGGCTTCGCTACCAGTATCACGGTAAAGAGCTATGGTACGAGACACAAAAGATTTATTCACATTTAAATACTGGAGGGATCTAAAAATAGCCACTTGTGGTTTTCCAGCCAAATATAAAGAGATCACACTATCACGCTTCCACCACGAATAACTTTTTTTCTGGAAAATTCTCACCAAAATGCTTTTGTACGCTTGTAAACAATATAATGACCTGTCACTGGAATAATTTTAACAGCTGTCGGTTAAGTGGCTTAGAAATGACAGCAGTCTGATGTTGGTTGCAGTTTTTTCATCTCACCCTTCTCTCTGTACTTGTACTTTACACCAATTGACATAAATATATAGATTGGACGAAATAGGTCAAGATTATTAAAATAAAATACCACAAATTTGCTACGACTCGAGCAAACTGAACAAAGAAATGTTGTTTGAAGAACAGCACAATGCAGGTATTTTTCCTTAAACAACTTTAAACTAACATCGGATTGTAATAGCTTTTTTGATGGATAATATAACATTGAAAGGAATGGCTCTGACATTGCAGTACTTGGAATATGATTGTCTTCGCATCAAAATATACATTCAATATTAGTTTTTCAATACTTTTAAATAGTTTCGATAAAGGTCATTTAAAGACTGTTTCAGCTTTTTGTTTGTCAAACTTTTTGCTTCATTAAATCAAATGATAGTGTAATCACCTATAAACCTTACAATTTTTGCAGATGTCCCAACGTGAAGATTTGAAGCACATGCTTTTCGAGCAGATGGCCGATTTGCAAATATTTGAACGTCTGCTGCGCTTCGATCCGGCACGTCAGAAATTATTTCTTTGTCTAGCCACATTAATAAGTAGAGGGAAACAGTTGGCCAAGGAATTGGAACAAACATTTATTCAACGATATGCGCCGCCCTCACCATCTCCAAGTTCAAGGTCTCATATGACGCAAACCACCAAGACTGCTTCCAAATTAGCCAAGTTGGCCAAAGCAAAACTAACTGTATCAACTTCCACACCGTCAACCTCAGCTCTATTGTCTCCGCCTCATACGGACGATGATTCCGTAGACGAGGAAGCCATCATACAAGCTGCTGACTCTTTGGCACTCTCATCCAATGAACATGAATACAATTTCGGACTGGATGTAATTGATTTTGGTTTACGTTTGGGCTCATTTCTCTCCGAAGCCGGCTGGCTGTCAGAAAGTATAGCCATTCTGCAGGTTGTTGCTAGCCGCCTAAGAAAAATGGAACCAACAAAGAAAATACAAATTATTTATTTGGACTGTTTACAAAGGTATTTCAACCCAAGAATACATATCAACTAATGTATATTTCTAATCTAATATATCTCTATACAGACTATTACATTCGGAATCCTGCTCAAGTAATTTCAAATCAGCTGAACGCACATTTGATATAATGATGGAATTACTTAAGGAAATCGATCAAGATGAAATACCCAAGCCGTTGTTGGCAAATACAAACACACAAATATCCGAAATGTATTTTGCACGCAATGAATACGATGACAGTCATATGTGGAGCGTTGTAGCCATGCGAAATTTGGAAGAAACGACGCCAGAGCGGTAAATAGCTAAACATACACACGCACACTAAAATTATCTTGTAAAGTCTCTCGAAAATTTCACTCTAATTGACATTTATTATTTGTTCATCTAGAATTGCCATTGATGTTCTGAGACAGGCGGCCAAAGCTTGTGTGGTGAAACGTGATTATCAACGGGCAAATATTTTAATTTGTCAAGCCAAAAGTAGGGCGAAGTAAGTCTGTAATACAAGATGCTCTTTGTGACATTTATCAATTCAAATGAATGGAAAACCCCTCGTCAGAATTATAATTGCTATTGTATTTTCATTTTGTTTTACAGAAAAACATTTGGTTCTAATCATCAAAAGTATGCCGACACATTACTGGACTATGGTTTCTTTTTGCTAAATGTCGACTCGCCCTATCAGAGTGTAAATGTTTACAAAGAAGCATTGGATATCAAACGCTGTGTCTTTGGCAATCGCAATTTCCATGTAGCAATGGCCCATGAAGATTTGTCCTATGCCTATTATGTCCACGAGTACAGCACTGGCAATTTCACCTGTGCCCGTGACCACATTGAGAAATCAGTAGATATTTTAAAACATTTGGTGCCACAGAATCACTTAAAGTTGGCCTCAGCAAAGAGAGTTAAAGCACTGTTGCTGGAAGAGATAGCGCTGGATAAGATGGCGGAGGGTGTTGACGATGAGGGATTGCTGAAACAGTCCGAAGAGTTGCACAAGTTCGCTTTGCAATTATCCCTTGAAGTATTCGGCGAAGAAAATGTGCAGACTGCAAAACTATATGGCAATTTGGGAAGGCTTTATCAAACCATGAATCGGTTTGAGGAGGCCGAGCGGATGCATCAAAAAGCCATTAAAATAAAAACTGATTTATTGGGACCTTATGATTATGAAGTTGGTCTTTCCATTGGACATCTGGCGTCGTTGTATAATTATCAAATGAAGAAATATAGAGAAGCAGAGGAACTGTATTTACGCAGCATTGAAATCAGTGAGTAGTACAAGGGAACCCCAGACGATTTGAAACTATGTTACAAATGTGTTGCAATTTTTTAGGTTTACGCTTATTTGGTCGTTCATATTCTGGCCTGGAATATGATTATTTGGGACTGTGTCATGTCTACGAGACATTGCGAGAGTACGAAAAGTATCTGCAATATGCACATATTTTGGAAAATTGGCAAATTTTACGTGGTCAAAATTTAACAATGAATGTGGGTATACAATACCTTTTGCAATTTCAAAATAACTCATTTCCACTTTTGTCCACTTTTTTTAGAAAACAATTTATCCTGCTATTAATGAAGACTGTTCCCTGGAGGAGATTAAGCAACAATTTTTTAATATGTGCAACCACAACTTAACACCCTGCAATTAAGAAAAGGAGTAGCTGTTATGTGTGCTGTTGTAACAACATTACTGTGTCTACTTAATATATTAGGGATTTTACATATACATACACATATAGTACATAAATATTATTATTATTATTATTATTACAATTGATAGAGACAAAAATGTAAATTAAGAATCTCATGCAATATGTATTTTTGTATTTTTTCGTTCTTTGTTTCCTTCGTTCCATTTGTTTGTTTTCGGTTTTGTTAACAACAAAATAGCCAACCAACACAAGTGAAGAATAAGCATAATAATTTAGTGATTACTAATTAACAATGATGATGCATATCGTGAATTTTAATACTTGATTTTAATGCAAACACACACACATACAACCATATATATGTATATCCAAGTCTGGTGTATGATTGGATTACAAATGCACTAGTTATTTACCATTGTCGCTTAATTATTCGTATTATAATTGTGTTATTGCCTATCCGACTGCGCCTATTTAGGAGCACAGCAATGTTCTCATTAATTCTCAAGTCGAAAAGGCACTCTTCATTGATTCCAAACTGTCGTATCGTGCAAAATGTAAAATATTTATATAAATACTTATTTCATGTACAAATAAGTAAATATTATGTCAACTACAACAACAACAAAAAAAGAAATTATGGAAATTGCCAGACAATGATTCAATAGTTTGCAATGTGGAATCTCAAAAATTCATTGGTGTATTGAAGTTTTCACAATAACTACCTTCCTTCCTTCCTTCCCCCGCAGCCAATAAGGTGTGTACCTACAATATTTACAACAATAGTGAGTATATTAACAGATTTAAGACTGCTCTGTATACAGTTTTTCTTTTTATTTTGTATTATGTTTTTTTTTTATATATATAACAAAGATCCCAGTTCATAGTTGAGGAGGTAGACAAGTATGAATCTCATTCATTGTGTACGTCAGTATTTCATTCAAAACAGTTTTAAAATGATGTGTCCGCCATACTATTATTATTATTAAACACTTGTTGCATAGCTGTAAATTGTGTTCTCTTAACATTGCCACAATACAACATTTTGTTTTGCATCGAATTGAATGAAGACTTAAGTATTTTGTAGAACAAAAGAATAACTAGAGTGCTGTTAAACTGCGTTTATATTCGAATTTTCGTTTGCATATTTTTTTAGTTTTTCTTTTTTTTTTAATCATACACAAAAACTAAACTTATGATGTAGTGTTTTATATGAAATTAACTATATGGGTTTGTAGGTAAATTACTATTTTAAAAAATTACACATATGTATATCGAATATTTGCAAAAAGACAACAAAAAAACGAAAAGGACATAACGTACTATAAGAAATGTATGTGTGTATATATATATATATATGTGACTATATAGTAAAGTAGATAAGCGTATTAATTGCTTTGGATTATTTACTTAGACGTTTTTTATTATATTGTGTTTTTTTCTTTCTTTTTTATTTTGATACATTGTTTTTAATTACATATATACATATGCATATTAATGTCACAAATGTTGTTTTATTTATTGTATCGCAAGATGGAGATTGGTTTTTTTATTTTGGTATGAAAAACTGTGTGAAACTGTCCTGTTTTTGAATTCACCCTGTTGATATATGATAGTGAAAGAGAGAAAATTCTGACAATTTAATAGTAACAATTGGTTTGAAATGACCCTAACAGATTCTGGCGAAATATTTTATAAACAATAGAAAAGAAATTGAGTGCCACTTTTTACGCAATTTGTTATTAAAATACAAATTAAATGTTCAACACACATAATAAAAATTATCTGATTTTATATATACGCAATGAAATTGACAGTGCTTTAGCAGCTTCAATTTTCAATTCATTGGTAGTTGTTTTTTATTCCTGTTAAACGTTATTAAAAGTTTAAGATATATGGTTATCTCATGCTTACATATGCAATAACATTTTTTGTCATAATATTTCATTGCCAACATCCAACTTCCATAATTAAAAATGAATTGTTTCTCCTTTGGAATGTACGCCCACCATGCGTTTGGTGGCAAAATTGGTAATATTGTTTATGGTTTAAAATTGGCGTCTCTCCACTTTGAGAACACTTAGATTAAAACATGTATACAGGGTGAGATGAAAAAACTGCAAACAAATTCAGACTACTGTCATTTCTAAGCCATTCGCCCGACAGCTATTAAAATTAATCTAGTGACAGCTCATTATATTGTTTACAAGCGCACAAAAGCATTTTGGTGAGAAATGTTATTCGTGATAGTGTGATTTCTTTGAACTTGGCTGGAAAACCACAAGTGGCTATCGTTAGATCACCCCAGCATTTAAATGTGAGTAATTTTTTTGTGTCTCGTACCATCGCTCTTTACCGTGATACCTACCAGTAGCGTAGCCCGACGTCAAGGAAGTGGACGGAAGAAAACGGCAACATCAGTAGAAATGGTTCGAAAAATAAAGAAGCGACTTGATCAAAACCCACGTCGCAGTGGCCGAGAAATGGCTCATGAGCTGAACATATCGCAGTATTCCATTCGGCAAATATTGACAAATCATCTCGGGGTAAAGCCATTGAAATTCCAAAAAGTGTAAGAACTTACACCGCAACAGAAATAAAATAGACTCAAAAGAGCTAAAGAGTTGCTTCGCTTGCCTTGGAAAGTGTTGAACGGCCGAATTTGGTTTTCTCCGATGAGAAAACATTCGTTATCCAGCAGTTTGTAAACAAACAAAATTATCGTGTTTACTTGCCAAAGAGGTCAGCTGAAATGATGCACCTTCGGTTGGCCACCAGAGCTCAAGCACCGGCCACGCTGATAGTGTGGGCCGCCATAACAACCGATGGTTGCTCTCCGCTCTCTCTCATATTAATCGACCGTGGTATCAGAATAAATGCCGAATATTATTGCGAAAATATTCTGGAGGGTGTATTAAAGATATGCTGTGTTTGATGGCACCAAATATCGTTTTTGTGGAGTGTATTTACAGGTGTGAGGCACCTGAAGAGATTAGAATGAAACATAGAAATTCGGATGATAGATTTCCTCCAAATTCGACACACTTTCTTCCAGACAAAATTCGGTCATATCAAAACCCATTCTATTAACTATCTGGGGCACAACAAACTTAAAACGGATAAAGATATATATGGAAGCTATATCCAATTCTTTGCTCGTATGTGCCAAATTCCATGATATTTGGACTTATATTACACATTTGGTGAACAATAAAAAAACGAATCGAATCAAAAGGAACTATGGGTCAATCTCGCTTCCTTCTCCATGTTTCAAACAAATGTACAAAGACGTAATACCATGACCACAGCGTGCAGTTGGATATAAAAAGGGTAGCCATTTCCGATTCGGGAAATAAGATTACCTCTCTATCTCTGTTATGTTAATGTAACAGTGTCTACATTTCGATTGCATTTTCCTTGCAAAAAATAATTGTATGGTAGAGTTTTGTGGGATCATGAGAATCCAGCAATGAGATGACTATCATTAAGTGATCTATTACAGCTAGATGTAGCTAATAAATTTCGATAAGGTCCTCAATCTTTATAGTGAACTTTAATATAAATTAGCTATACGGTCAAAATAAAAACGTCCATCTCTGGTTGTCCAAGCAAGCAAAGTCACGTCGTCATCGGCGTTCATAAAACATTAACGCCGACAGAGAAATGCAGACGCCACTGACAAATACGCATAATTAATCGGTAAAAGAATATAAGGAGATGCATTATCACTTCCGAAAGTTGATATGTGAAAAATATTTAAAAATGTCTTCAAATATATTTTAATATTCAAATATTTATAGTATGGTGTCACGTAAAGGCTGTTATGATATGTATTTTTAACCAATTCAACTAATTTAGATAATTTTTCATTTAAAATGTTGAATTCCTAAAATTTTTTGACAGTTTTTTTTACCACCAGCTTTGTTGATGCGGTTACCTGAATCATAGTATCATATATACTTCTCTTGGAATTGAGAAGTATATATTGGAATTGAATGTTCAAACTTGTGAACTATTATTTTTATACCCTCTACCATACTATGGAGGGTATATTAACTTTGTCATTCCGTTTGTAACCAACAAAGTATATATATTCTTGATCAGCGTAAAATTCTAAGTCGACTTAGGGATGTCCGTCTGTCCGTTGTAATCACGCTATCTTTCGAACGAATTGAGAAAGAAGGCAAAAATTTTGCACACATGGTTATTTTTCAGTAGGCAGGTTAAGTTCGTATCGCCCCCATAAAACAATACCTCCCGATATTCGGTATTTTGATGATTTTTGCGACATTTTTTACCGGAATTATTTCAAATTTCGTAATGAAAGATCTAAATGGGTATTACAACCTATGACAAAAAATTTCGTATATTGAATGTATCTACTTTGTAGGGTCTCTTATGAATATTCGAGGAGTTACAAACGGAAGGACAAAGCTAATATACCTTCCACAGAATGGTGGAGGGTATAAAAACACCTGCAGGATTTATGATATGTCACAAAATATACCACACAATACAAGTGAGAATACATGAAACGTTTTTCGGCTGGCTTCTTGGTAGAGGAAGAAAGGAGTTTTAGTTTGACTTCGTTCGATTTTGGACCTAGGCGCCTTTGTTCTTTTACGAAGAAGCCAGCCGATGACTTAATCCAGTCAAAAAAGCTCTTAAGGTGCAAGTACATAAAAAGCTTGAAGTCATGGCTGGGCATATTTATGTCAAATTATAATGAAAAACGACGGCAGGATTTAAGTGCGGCTTTGTAATCCCTTTAAGAAATGTCAAAGTATGCCTAGCCATGACTTCAAGCTTCTTATGTACTTACACCCTTAATGTATTCTCACCTTAAGAGCAATAACTGTGAAATGTTGCATATAAAACCTGGTCGTAAGGAAAGGTATCACAAGACGAAATTCATACTTTAAGTTTATGAAAAATATTAAAAGGTACCAAATGGAACATTATTTCGAGCATGGCGTCACAATTGGTGTAGTTTTAATAGCAGGAAAATTCTAAGCTTCAAATAATTCTGACAGAAAGCTTTTTAACCTTCTAATTGTACCATAGATGTAATTCCCATGCACAAAAAAGAAAACATGATCAAATCACACAATCGGTGCTAGAGAAAGTCAACAATGAAGTTAATTAAAGATATGATCAATGGCCATGATAGTCCAACTAAGGTGTGAATGGAATCTAGTACCGCGTGCAATCATTTCTGATTGTAATCTTTATTTCAAGTACTTCAACGGGGTAGGGCTTCATCATTTTTGATTCTGTGAGTTTCTCCCAGCGGATGGAGATAAATCCGCTGTTTAAAATATGACTTTGGTCCGATCATATCGCTTTTTGTTTTAATGTTAACCCACGGGTAGTCTTCTGTAATGCTTTCGATTTCATTTGTACGATCGTTACGAAAGACAATCGTGCCTAACAGATCAAACACATGCTAAGCCAGTCGCTAATGGCGAGCTGCAGTCTTACGAAATGTTTTGGTTCTTACATACGATGATGGTGGTGGTGGTGGTCAATGGGATCTTTTTCTGCTTGCTTAGAGGCACCACTTGATCTATCCATCACTTTTCATTTCAAGCTTTAAAAACCAAAACCATTAGCTACAACAACAAGAACAACGACACAACCACGCCACCAAGAAAGATGTGAGTTGTTTTGGAGACGACTGGTTTAACGTAACGTGTACGCCGCACCAGCAACAACATTTTGCTTGTCATAATTCAACGCAATATTGTCATATCTATGCCAACGAACGAACGAATGAACCGACGGCCAACAAAAGCCGTAAAGCTGCATGAGCACTTATTGTCGCCAAAAGAAAAAAGAAACACCAACAACCTATAGAGCCAGAGTCGCGGCAGTGCAGTCCGGAACTATGAAAGGGAAATGAAAACGCACCGAAATTTCACTGTTTTAAATATTTTTGGCTGTAAACAAATGTTTGGAGACGGGTTTATGCGATATTCACACACACACACACCAATGTCTACTGGTGGGGGACCACCCGAGTGAGCTTGCCAAAGCGCTCACTTTTAATATTTAGAGACTCGTTTATGCGCTTGCTGAGTGGACTTTACGCAGTCGCGCATGCTCAGGTGATAAGTGGTTATTCACAGCACCATCACAGATTTCAGTGAAAAGACGTGCTGAGAATTTAAATTTAATTATTTGTTCATCTATTCAAACATAACTAATACTCGGGCATTGGATTTGATTGACACACGGATGGACACACATTCACATGGTCGCCACACACACACATCCACACATATTTCTACTAATATATATCAATTAATATAGTTTAATACTACATGGAGATGCCGCTCACATGGAGATCCACAGAAGAGTACAAGGTACTGTGTTTTCAGAGCGTCAAAAAGTGAGCATATAGTATTGGATTAGTTTTTTAAGTGAAATAGTGGAATTGAACTTTATTTTTTCATCGTGAATGGGTTATCTTTTAAAAATGCAGAAAAGCTTTTCATAGTGAATTGC